ATCCTGGATCTAGCGGATCCGCTCCCAGCAGATCCCAGTCCTGCTGGATCCCATGCCAGAAGATCCCCACACCCAGCCGATCCCCTCCCAACAGATCCCAGTTCCGGTGGATCCCATCCCAGCAGATCCCAGATCCAGCCGATCCCCTCCCAGTGGATCCCGTTTCTGGTGGGTTCCATCCCAATGGATCCCAGATCCAGCAGATCCCCTCCCAGCGGATCCTGGAAGATCCTGTTTCTGGTGGATTCCATCCCAGCCAATCCCAGATCCAGCAGGTCCCAGTTCCGGTGGATCCCATCCCAGTGGATCCCAGATCCATTGGATCCCCTCCCAGCAGATCCCGGAAACCCCGGGCCCGGTGGATCCCAGAAGATCCAGTTTCTGGTGGATCCCATCCCAGCCGATCCCAGATCCAATGGATCCCCTCCCAGCAGATCCCGGCCTCGTGGATCCCGTGCTGGGAGATCCCAGTTCCCGTAGATCCCACCCCAGCAGATCCCAGATCCAGCAGGTCCCCTCCCAGCAGATCCCAGTTCCGCTGGATCCCAGTTTTGCTGGATCCCAGATCAAGCAGATCCCAGTTCCCGTAGATCCCACCCCAGCAGATCCCAGTTCCGGTGGATCCCAGTTCTGCTGGATCCCAGATCAAGCAGATCCCAGTTCCCGTAGGTCCCATCCCAACGGATCCCGGATCCAGCCGATCCCCTCCCAGCAGATCCCGACCTCGTGGATCCTGTGCCGGAAGATCCCAGTTCCCGTAGATCCCACCCCAGCAGATCCCAGTTCTGGTGGATCCCGGATCCAGCAGGTCCCAGTTCCAGCAGATCCCGGATCCAGTGGATCCCCTCCCAGCAGATCCCAGTTCCAGTGGATCCCATCCCAACCAATCCCGGATCCAGTGGATCCCTTCCCAGCAGATCCCGGTTCCGGTGGGTCCCAGATCCAGCAGGTCCCAGATCCAGCCAATCCCGTGCCAGCAGATCCCAGCTCTGGAGGATCTCCTCCCAGCAGATCCCGACCTCGTGGATCCCGTGCCAGCAGATCCCAGTTCCCGTAGATCCCACCCCAGCTGATCCCAGTCCCAGCAGATCCCCAGACCCAGCCGATCCCATCCCAGCCAATCCCAGTCCTGGTGGATCCCAGATCCAGCAGATCCAGCAGATCCCAGTCCCGGTGGATCCCATCCCAGCGGATCCCATCCCAGCCAATCCCAGTTCCAGCTGATTCCCTCCCAGCCGATCCCCTCCCGGCGGATCCCGGCAGATCCCAGAAGATCCCGTTTCTGGCGGATCCCCTCCCAGCAGGTCCCAGTTCTGGTGGATCCCGGATCCAGCCGATCCCATCCCAGCAGATCCCAGCTCCGGTGGATCCCAGCTCCAGTGGATCCCCTCCCAGTGGATCCCGGATCCAGCCGATCCCATCCCCTCACAGCCGATCCCCTCACAGCAGATCCCAGCACCAGTGGATCCCAGCTCAGGTGGATCCCAGTTCTGGTGGATCCCATCCCAGTGGATCCCGGATCCAGCCGATCCCCTCACAGCTGATCCCCTCCAGCTCTGGTGGATCCCGGATCCAGCTGATCCCATCCCTTCACAGCCGATCCCCTTCCAGCCGATCCCAGTTGCGGTGGATCCCATCCCCGGTGGACCCCCTCCCACTTGATCCCGCTGATCCCGCTCGATCCCGCTCGATCCCGGTCGATCCCGGTCGATCCCATTGATCCCGCCCGATCCCGGTCGATCCCGCCCGATCCCGCCCGATCCCGGTCGATCCCGTTGGATCCCGTTGGATCCCGGTCGATCCCGCCCGATCCCGTCGATCCCGGTCGATCCCGGCCGATCCCGTCGATCCCGGCCGATCCCGGCCGATCCCGGCCGATCCCGG